CATATCAATTTAAACTCATATTCACACAATTTCAACTAAATTTCATAAAAAATGCACTAAATTTCACACAAACAAATTCAATTTCACAAAAAATTACAATAATAATAAATTGTATAAAATTAAACTAAAATACCTTGAGAGGAAGAGGAGGTCAGGTGGGGGAAGATGGCGGTCGAGACACTGGCGGAGGCGAGTGGTGGAGACACTGGCGGCGGCGGCGAGGAGGGAGGGAGACACTGGCTGTCGAAGGCGAGGCGAGGAGGGAGACACTGGCTGCGTGGTCGACGGCGAGGCAAGGAGGACGAGCGCCACGACGTTAACAAACCGTGCGACGGCGGCCGGCGGTCTAGGAAAGCCGCGGAGGAGATGTGTCGGTCGAAGTTGGGTGGACGGAAGATTGCTGGGTCTGGATGTCTGGATCTGTGAACTGATTTCGTCTACAGATCTAAAAGAGGATAACCCGATTTTAGTTAATTATCTGCAACGGAAATAAGTCCGTTGCAGATTACACGACATGTTTACCTCACTTTATTCCGTAGCAGATCTGCGACAAAAACAAAAGTTCCGTCGCAGATAGTGTTCCTTTTTCAGAAAATATTACTCCGTCGTAGATTCGTTGCAGATCTGCTACGGATATGTGTCCGTAGCAGATTTTCGTTGCAGACCAGATAAATTCTTGTAGTGTGCGTGGGTGTGAAGGCATAGCTGCTGCACAGCATAAGTGAGGTCAGGACGTGTGAAGGTGAGGTACTGCAATGCACCAACAATGGATCTGTAGAGGGTGGGGTCGGGTAGAGGAGTGCCGGATGAAGCTGAGTGCCGGATGAAGCTCCGTATTTATAGTTACAACAAGTATGTAAAACATAATAAGGAAAGTCCTATACATAAGGAAAGCTACCATATACACTATATATATGTGTGTGTGTGTGTGTGTGTGTATATATATATATATATATATATATATATATATATATATATATATATATATATATATATATATATATATATATAAAGGTGGTCGCGGCTTACCATGCTGGGGAAAACATCCATGAATAGGATTTTAGTTCACTTTGGGGAGACAACCAGGGTTTGCTATTATCTCCCTTGAGGTTTCCAGGGGTTAGATTTTACTTAATTTAAAATTAGAGAAATTAAGGGAGTTCATATGTTTGTTCTTTTTTATATTTTGGGTCTATTGAACTTCGTTTAAATAGGGACTTTCTTTTGTTCTGCTTTGCTAGCCTGACTTTAGGGTCAATTTAGGGCTTGTTTTGGGTACTTCTGGGTTTTCTTGGTGTTTGATGCAGCTGCCATCATCTGTGAGTTGCGGTAGATTCCCTGGCAACCACAAAACAGTAAAGAGCTAGGCTCTACATCCTGACCGAGTTTATATGGGGAGGTGCTAGCTGTGAAGTAAGCTTCAAGAGGAAGAAGATAATTTTTGGGTTGTACTAGTAGCCAGCTCCTACAGCGTTTGATGTTTAGTTCTTGTTTGGTTCCTTTTGTTTTGGTCTTCTGTCTTATGCTCTGACCATTTGTTGGGGTCGGCCACCCATTGTACTTTTCCTTTTCATGAATAAAATCTCTTTTATCTAATATATATATATATATATATATATATATATATATATATATATATATATATATGGGCTGGTTTTTGTAAGAATGGACCTTGTGGAGAGAAATGAGAATAAAATCTAGTATTTGGATTTGATGCATCGTGCGGCTCAGATTGCATCCTGCGCTCAGATTATGAGATAGTGCATTTCCAAAGGATTTTGGTGCATTTTGACATGATGCATTTTCAAACCATTTTGGTGCACCTAATTTTGATGCAATCCTGACCATTAGATCTCATAATCTAAAGCACCAGATTCATTCTCATTTCTCTCCTAAGATCGCATTCTCACCAGAACCAAAATCTAATATATATATATGTGTGTGTGTGTGTGTGTTTGTGTGTGTGTGTGTGTATATATATATATATATATATTAAATATAGAATATATTTAACATTCTTCTTCTTCTTCTTCTTCTTCTTCTGCTTCTCCTTCTCCTCCTCCTCCTTCTCCTCCTCCTCCTTCTCCTTCTTCTTCTTCTTCTTCTTCTTCTTTCCTTTTCTTTTCCTGCGCTGTTGCTTTGTTTCTGTTCCCGTTGCTGTGTACTTCGGGTTGACAGAAGGTTACAAGAGAGAGAGAGACGAGAGAGTTACGTGAGTTTATGGATTGTGATCATGCATATGGGCGTGTAGGGTGCTATTTATATGTTTGGGGTTTTGAGCTCCGTAGTTAACTAACGTACTTGACCCAAAACACACTTTTTGGGCCCACAAGCTCCAAGTCCAAATCTGTTTGTGCCGTTGGATTTTTTCCGTCGAATCCAACACAACGGTATAAACCTTTTCGTCAAACGAGAAATATTTCAAAATTACACCGAGTTCGTCTCAATAAGTAATTAATTATTTTTAATTAATTAATTTTGATATGCCGGATAACGGGACATTACATGAAGTTTTATTTAATTTAATTTTTAAATATGTGTATTAAAAATATAAAAAATAAAGTTTTGAAGACTCCTTGCAAGAAAAGTGGACGTTTTCAAGGGGGTATTAGTGGTGTTCTTAGACTGCCCAATATTCCTTGTCGTTCTGACCGTCGGAACTCGGAAGAATATATTGCAATGGAAGAAATTGCCTTGGAGGCCATAAAGCATGCTCTGAAGTCACTCCGAAAGCGGCATTTACTGGAAGAGGGAGCTCATCTTCCTGCTTTCACCGCCCTCTCTCGCCCACTTATTCATCAGGTTCCTTCGTTTTCTCTGATTCTACTTTATATCGAATTTCTGTCTGTGTATCAATTATCTATGTGCATAATTATTTACTCACTTTTCAGCTAGTTTCGTCGATTGATTTCGATTTGATCTTAATTTACCTTCAGTACTGTATAATGTTTAGAATAATTTTAAATTTTGCTAACTATATATTCACGAGACTTGAGAGAGTTATCATAGCGACTATTTTCCTGGGATGAAAAAGTAAATATTACTGTAAGCCTTATGACTACGCTGAGAAGGGATTAGAAGATCATTATATATTTACTTCGAGAAATTATTAATCCGTATCAAATTCAATGGCATATGAATGTGTTTCTTTTGTTTAAGAAAACAAAAACTATTTCTGGAATATGGACATTATTGCAGTGTGGGAGTGAGAAGAGAAACAGCAAGTTGATGTACGAAGATATTTGAATGTCAGGTTGAAATATGACATAATAGGAATGATTGATTTGATCTTTTGTTAGAGTCCAAAAAAATTTGATCTTTTGTTTCTTAGGAACATTTTTTTTTTTCAAATTTTAGAGCTGTAACTACCAATTTATCCTATCTGCTCCGTTCTTACTAAAGGCTTTTTGATGTTTTCCTAAAAATAAAGTTCTGGAAAAATAAATGAAACATTTGCTAGGTGAAAAGTTGGATAAGCTATAATGAAAAAACCATTTTAGTTAAAAGATTCCATGGAATCTTTTTAAATGCCACACTCATCATGAGCTCGGTATGTATTCTTTAACATGAAGTCATGAAGAATAGTAGACATACACAAGTAGAGTATCATTTTGACAGAACGAGTTAGGAGCATGACAGTCGCTTAGCTTTATCAGGGATGTATGCACCTTAATTGGATCCCCAAAAAGTGTTCTATTGTTCATCTGCATTATTGATCATGAAGAAGAGTGCATTGGCATGTTGAACTGAGAACTTCATTAAATGCTTCCTTTATCCCAAAGTGAAGTGACTTCACAGAGTTTGAGAAAAGTGAAATGCATTAGGTGAAAGGTGAATGGTGTGTGGTAGAAATTTATTTAGAAGAGAGAATAATTATAAGAGCCAAATATTTATTTCCTTAAATGGAAAGTGGAAAAGTGTAAAACTTTATTTTGGGACAACCAAAAAGGAAAGCATAAACATCATTTTGCGACGGAGGGAGTATCTAAGCGCTATACTGTACTAGTGCCATTGAACTTGTATTTACGCGGAGGATGGAAATCAAAGTCTCACCCCCTCTCTCTTGAACTTTTTTCTCTAATAAACAGGCTTGTTAAGACCCAAAAATTAATCCTTTCTTTAATTTCCATTTCCAGGTAATATGATTTATTTTCTTGGGAAAATGGTCCACTTTCCATGGAAAATGATGAAAAAAGTTTTGAATGCATTAAGGGATTTATTCAATAGCATCTAGTTTTCACCTGTATAAACTTTTAAAAGTTGAGTGGTATGTGGAATATTTTATTAAAGTTGTGGAGTGTGGTTAGCTGTGGATATTTTGACCGTGTTTGAGCATGAATTTACTAAGAGGCAGAATATGTGTATCAATCATATCTATTGATTTATGGTTTACAATCATGAAGGATACTCTTTTATGGATTACAATTTATCTTCTCAATGTAAACCAACAATTGCACGAGTCATACTTTTCTAGGATATGCAATGCTAACCATTATTTCTATTTTTAGCAAGAACCCAGTATAATCCCAACATTATTGGGTCTGGTGGTCATGATGTACACAATCTTACTCCTGTAAAAAGAGAGAAACCATTTCAGTTAGACCCTAGATGCATTGCTACATTGACTCTTGTTAAAATTCTGGCGGGCCAAGAGCGAGTAGTGTCAGGTAAAATTAACCACTTACATATAAAGGTAAAATTAACCACTTACATATAAAGTCAGGATCCACTATTCTAATGCAAAAGCTTAAGCTGATGGGTAGGGCTTCACCCTTCTATATATGCTAGTAGTATTCATCTTTATTTCCCGTTGTGGGAACTCCAACACTCCCCCTCAAGTGATAACTAGGCTGACCTAGTTAGCACTTGGACAAACGGGTCTAGCATCTCAATCTCTTTTTAGCCAGCTCAACCCAAACTACGGACGGGTAGCTCTTTTCTTGCTAAACCCACGTCCAACAACCAGGAAGAATCGTACCCGGACCGGACCTGCTCTGATACCATGTTAAAATTCCGGTGGGCCGAGAACAACGAGTAGAGTGTCGGGTAAAATTAACCACTTACATATAAAGTCGGGATCCACTATTCTAACCCAGAAGCTTAAGCTTAAGCTGATTGGTAGGGCTTTACCCTTCTATATATGCTAGTGGTATTCATCTTTATTTCTGATGTGGGAACTCCAACAACTCTTTTAGCTCCATTGCCAGTGGGCATGGTTGTTTCTATTTTTAAGGTTAAGATTTTTAAATGTGAAGAGAAGTGTGGAGAAAGCCGTGGCAGGATATTTGTCCATGATTAGGTCTTTTAACTTAAACTTACCATCTTGTTTTGTTTACAGCTCTCAGTTTTACTTTTTTAGGTGGAAGCTTTCGTTTTAGACTTGCTAAAGCTGTTTCATTAGATTTTATAGATTGACAGTTTGTCAGGTTTTCGGTTTATGATTAAGTGTGTACTAATAGTGTTTGTTCAGAAACTACGACAGAAATCAGAGTCAAATAATTAGTTCTCTCTCCGTCCCATATCTATCTTCTCACTTTCTTTTTTGGATCGTCCTATTTGATTCTTCTTGTTTCCTAAAATGGAATTTTAATACACCTAAAGTTACTCTTTTACCCTTTCTTCTTTTATTCTCTCACTCCCAAACTTTCTGCTCGTTTTTCTTTGACTCTTCTCGTTCATCCTTCGTGACTTGTCTCCTTCTCTTTTTTCTTCTTCTTTTTCCTCTTCGTCTTC